TAATGGTCGAAAACATGGCATCCTACCTTAGCATGTCTCTTTTGTAAGTATTATGCCCTAGGTCCAATCAACTTTGGACATAAATACTTTTATATATAATTAATGCAATTAAATGACAGATCTACTATTTAATTAATAGACAATTAAATAAATAATGGAGTCCGTAGATTCAAATCTTTGTAATTTGTTAATCATAAGGAATTGTGATTGTGAGATACAAATTGCATCTAATTGAATCTTAAATCATCTGTGGTCGTAAGTAATAACGAGATACGAATATCATTATTACGGATAGACCATCACGTGTGGCATTTCTTACTTGTGAAGTAAGTAGCTGATCTCACAAGTTAAAGTGTGATGACACTTAAATGAACACGTGGATGTTTTGTTATAGAACAAAACATTGGAGACCCGTCGAGAGATTCCACATGGATAACTATCTAAGTGTCAGTGGTTAATCTCTAACGTTCGATAGTGGAATTGGTCTTTTGACTTGAGGTCGTCGTGGTACCTTATATAAGGACAATCATACTTTGACGGTGTTGGATGTTGCTCTGAAAAGGGCCGTTAATACAACATCGTTCGGGTACGTCAAGAATCGTATAAAGGTTTTGATTGATCAATAAAGGATTCGTCACTCTTAGATAATAGGAGATTATGATCTGCGTTTTATTTAATTAAGTTGATGATGAAATTCTTGGCCAAGGTGTATTCATAAGTCGAAAAGGAGTTTTCAACTTATATTGACTTAATAGTGGAGTGAAAGATATGATCAATGATCGAGATTGACACAATTTCATATCTCATAATTGATCGGATCATATTGACGAAGGGATTATAGTTTCACGGTAAACGAACGAATTTGATTTTGTCATACCACGTGACATTTTCCGTCACATGTATTGTCCTGACACATTGTTAGATGTCAATCAGGGACGGCGAGTGTGAATAGACGATAAATTAAAAGGGTGTTTTAATTTATCAATTTTGATTAGATTAAAATAATATTTCACGTCATTAGGTATCGTGGTCGGGAACCTAATAGGTCGCACACAAAAGAGAATTGGAAGATTGCAAATTGCCAATTGGTTAATTTAACAATCGTAGGATAAATTAATTAATTAGATTTGTCATTTATATTCCTGAATTAATTAATTAGATCAATTAATTCACGGACCGGGTTTAATTAATTGGATTAATTAAATATTGGACCGAATCGGGCCGAACTCGTTTGGGTTTATATAAATACATGACTAGGGTTTGAGATTCATATGGTTTTCATTATTTTTGCTGGCACAAGAGAGAAAACATTGGTAGCTGCAATCTTATTCTCTGTGTGGATTTCATTGGAGGCTAGACAATTAGACAGCTATAGGAGGCAGATTCAAGATTGCTGGAACGAAAAGAAAAGGTAAAGATTTGCAGAATTCTTTAAATATACAATTTTTATCACGATTTCTATCTAAACACAAAGGGATTTTCGGTGGGAATCGAAATAAATTTAATTTTCCGTTGTACATGTATAAGTAGATTCCTAACATCTTTCACTATAAAAAGTTTTTTTTACGAGTCACATCTCCGTTAATCGAGAAATTTTTAATTTTAAACTTCAAAGGGTGTGGAAATCTGCGCTCCAATTGAAATCAAAAGAATAAAGATAGGTAGTTTTAGCATATTACCTTTCAAAAACGTTGGATTTTAATATGGCAACATAATATACTCTTAAGAAATGTCATCCAATTGAATACTACACTAGGATGATGAGAGACTTAGGGTTTTACACAAAGGGTTAATAGCATAGCATCTTGTTTGCACACTAGAAGGGACTTCACTGCGGTCTATTTTTAGGTTGAGTTGGTGGGTTGATGATAATATCTCCCAGAACAAATTTCGTTTGAAAGTCGTGTATTATATTAGAAAAATGAAATTAAGGATTCGTTTGATGAGATGCTCGAAAAGTTAAAAATTGTTTATGAGATTAAGAAATTATTATTGACCATGCTTGAAATTTTTTTTGAAGTGTTTCATCTAATTAAAAGAGTTTTTAAAATAAATTGATCCAAAATAGTCTTCTCAAAAAATTATTTTACAAGCAGCATAAGCACTGTCAAACATATCCAATATACTTCACCTAACTATGGATCTACGGGGTCCATTTATTAAAAGGTTGAGAATTTAGTTATCTTCACTTGTGACTCAGGTGTTGTATTTTTCGAACAAGGAGAACTATGATGACAATTTGATTCTTAAATCCTATTCAACGCAAGTCAACGTAGAGTCTAAGGATCCGTTTGATTGTAAAGATAAAATTTGGATAAAAAGAAAATGAACTTTAGGGAATTAAATTGCTTAGAAATTATTTTACTGGGAATTGTAAATTAGTGTGTTTGATTAGTATAATTTTCTACGTGAAAAATGTTGAAATAAAAGTGTTTTTGGTGTTCGTTTGGTTTTGTTTTATATGAAAATTATCAATTAAAAGGATAGATTTTACTGGTATTGGAGATTAAATTTATTTTCATTGCAAAAAAAAAAAAATCAAAAAAATCATCTATCTTTTGGTGTTCGTTTGACTTTGTTTTACATGGAAATTTTCAATTAAAAGGAATTTTTTTAAAAAATAATTCTTAGGATTTGTTTTTATTGCGAAAAAAAAAATGTTAGGCCCCGTTTGATTGCACGAAATTTTCCATGGAACTTGGAATTCGAATTCCAACTTCCACTTTTGGCCTGTTTGATTGACAAAGTTTTCCAGGGAATTGATTTTCCATGAATTTCTAGGTACAACACCTTAAAGCGTGATTTTCCACCTTTTTTTTCTAGGGGATAGGTGGGTTTTTGGTTTTCCCCCTTTTTTTTTTTTTTTGGCTTTTTTTATTTTTTTTTTAATTGTTGGCAATGGAAACAAATTTTAGGAATAATTGTAAAAGAGGATATCCCTGAAATTGACAATTTCCACATAAAACAAAGTCAAACGAACATCAAAAAATACTTTTACTTCAACATTTTTCACGTGAAAAATTTATACAATCAAACACAATAATTTACAATTTCCATGAAAACAATTTCTAGGTAATTCAATTCCTTAGAATTCATTTTCTTTCCATGTAATTTTCCTACTTGTAATCAAACGCACCCTTACAGTAATTCGGGAGAATTCATTTTCCTCCAAAATATGAAAAATGTTTATGTAGCATGAGAAAAATGTTTATGTAGCATGAAAATGTGGAAAATGAATTCCAAGTAAATTTTTGCCAATCAAACACCAAAAAAATGAAAAGATGGAATTACAATTCCATTTTCCATGAAATTTCCACCATATCAAACACACCCTAATTAAAGTAGAAACTTACACTTTATCAAGTCAATGACTTGAGTACGAACTTTTATTTAGAGGTTGTCTAGTACCAATTTTTTGGAGAGAAAAAAGGATTTATATCATCTTTAGTAGATTTTTTTAACCAATTGTCTCACATGCGCATCCCAACTGAGGGAAGTAAAAAATTTGATTTTATTGGGGCAAAAATGCTGGAGCAAACAACCTTAGAGGAGTGAAATCATTTGATCTCCTTGCATTAAAAGTGTTAAAATTTGGGAGTGATCTAAGTTCTTGGCTCAAGTAAAAATTGAGAGTTTTAATTAAAGTGCATATTAAAAAGAATTCTATTTGAAATGCTATTGTTGAATCTTATTCAAATTTACTTGACAAACATGAGTTGAAATCTACTAGAAAGTCCAATTGGGAGTCAAAATTTGTGTTGGACTTAAAGAGGACACTGAGATAATGAAATCGAGATTTTGGAGTAAAAGACCCGAAAGTGGGCTCCAAGGCACCAAAGTCTCGACGCCAAGGCAATTTTCGCTTAGCACTGCGGCACCACTTGCCTATTTCGCTTCTTGCATGATTTTTTCTCATCTATTCCGTTTCTTACATTCTATTTCAACTACAACTTTAATATTAGGGTTTGGACTTTCCCTATTTGTTCATTATTTATAGCCTTTGTTTGAGCACCATTCTTTTAAAAATTCATTTTCAATCACATATTTTTTCAATAAAATAATATTACACACAACTTCAAATTTTTTTTAAGCCTTAACTATATATTTTCAATCAATCTACTATTCAAAATACATTATCTTCCCAAAATGGGGCTCAAACAAGAGCATATAGCTCTTCATTATGATTTGTGAGAAGTTTGAAATATTGTAACCATAAGATCTTTGTATTATTTTTTCATATTATAATAAAATTTCCAATCTCTGCAAATTATTTTGTTTTCGTGCTCTTGTGATCAATTATTTCATATTGAGACTATAATATCTTATTTTCTCCAACAAACTAGCATTGGATTTATCCTGTATCATCTTCATTTCACAACAAAAAGGGAAAAAATGGCTATTCAACGCCAATTTAGAAGAGCTGAGTTCAAGATTAACATTTGTTTGAGCCACCCTTTTTTGTTAAAAAATAGATTTTATAATGATTTTATTATTATTATTATTATTTATTTATTATTATTATTTTTTAGAATGTATGATTAAGAAGTAAGAAAAGTTTTAAGATTATGAAAAAAAAATATTTCATTGAAAAAAATGTGATTAAAAATATTTTTTTAAAGAATGATGCTTAATGGGGGACACGGTAACATCTGCAGTAATTCATTCCAATATTTAGCTCTAGTTAAGTAGAGATTAAAATTAGATTTTTAACCAATTTTGATAAAAGTTAGTTAAATGTATAGTTAAAGAATTATGAATCTCATAAGATATGCAATTAAAATTATTTGTTGAATTTGATTTTAATAAAAATTGAGATTATAATTTCTATCGTGGGCTTAGTAATCGGCTACAATCTTTTCTAATTAGTTGCGAATATTTTCCCATGATACCGGCCCAACGCAAAAAATATATCTTTGCCACGTGGCTCGCATTAATTGGTCATCACAAGTTTGAGTGCACTGTGATTGGTCAGTTGCTCCTAGACTACGTTGGCATTACGAATTGAGTCGTGCATTCCCAATCCCCCGTCTTGCCTCTGTAAAATAAACTCAAACCCCCATTTTCCCAAAACAAAGTAATCTCACACGCATACAGATTTTGCATAATTGGATTGGATTTTCGTTTTTGTTGCCTATTGGATCCGATTTCAAACCCTAGATTTGAGTGGAACATAATTTTGATCTCTGTGCTAAAAAGAAAATGGCGCATCGAAGATCAAAATTATTGCTCATTTTGTGCATTTATAGTTACTGTCTAATTTCCCTTGCTGCGTAAGTGTATCAATGCATGTTACCAATTGAGTATGTTAATTCATTTGGAGTAGTATTTAATGCAATATGTCATGTTAATAAATTCTTTTGGATTGTTTCCAGGAAGAGTTACTACGACATTCTGCAGGTGACTAAAAGCGCTTCTGATGACCAAATAAAACGAGCTTACCGGAAGCTTGCGTTGAAATATCATCCGGATAAGAACCAAGGAAATGAAGAAGCTAACAAGAAATTTGCTGAAATTAACAATGGTAGTTATTTTTATCTCATCTTTTTCGTTCTCTGCGGTAATTTGTATTTCGTTAACTAGTTTGTGAAGTTCTTGGATTGGTATTCATTTGGTTATTGCAAGAATACGACTGTTTTGATTGGTCGAACAAGAAATTTGCTGAAACTAACAATGGTAGTTAATATTATTTCATATTTTTGTTTGGTAACCTGTGTTGTACGTGGATTGACAGCGATTTCTTTGTTGCAAAAGAATAAAATAAAATTAATTGTTGGGTTTTTACAGCATATGAAGTGTTATCGGATGGTGAGAAGAGAAGTATATATGATAGGTACGGTGAAGAGGGACTTAAACAGCATGCTGCCAATGGTGGTGGTAGTAGATCTGGTGGAATGAATTTCCAAGACATATTTAGCTCGTAAGTTTATGCCTCTTTTTCTTTCTGGCATTTCATTTTTGCTTTAATAGATGTGATGTCCTTGTTGAAGCACTTTCCTAAGCACATTCACTACCGTACTTTTGATGTTTTAACTTTGACGAATGGGAATTGGAAGGGTTTATGCTGAATTGATGGTGGCAACTGTAAGTGTTGCTGATGGTTGTCCTATAGAGGAAGTTAACTTCCAATATGTTTTTGACACTTTAAAAGTAACCTTAGATTTGCAATGCTATGCCAATGTAAGTGTTCTTTCATATGCATGCCATGGATTTATGACTTTAAATTATTTGAATGATGTCAAACCTGAATCAAATAGGACTTTATTGTCACTGTGTATTTCCTTTATAATATACTTAAGAAACTGGTGATTTCTAGGTATAAAATATTAAATTCACTAGGTGCTTCTGCCATCTGCATCCATTTCTGACCATATTAACTATCCCTTACCCCAGCACATGATGCTGTCGTCCGTAACATTTCCAATGTAGCTACTATTTCACATTTCAAGCCTTCTCCTCGGTTGGAATTTTGATTTAGGTAGCAAGGATAGTGAGTTTGAGAAACCTAGGGTTACTATTATTGATGTTAAATAAAGAACCCAAAAAGTAAGGAATTTATTACAGCTATATGTTGTGGTATTACTGTTTTTCTCTTAACTTATATTTGTCATTCTCCAGATTGTTTTGGCATTCTTCTCTTTCATTTTCCATCTTAGTATTCTGCTTATCATCTCCATTGCTTAAAAGGATAGATTTTTTCTAGGTTTTTTGGTGGAGGCCCAATGGAAGAAGAAGAGAAGATCGTGAAAGGCGATGACGTGATTATTGAACTGGATGCAACACTTGAAGATCTGTATATGGGGGGTTCTTTGAAGGTAATGGATACACAACACCAAGAAACAATAACAACTGTATAAATATACAGTTTTGCACGGATTGAATTTTTGAAAGTATGTGTTTGTTTAAACATTTTCTTGTTTCTCTCTATAAATTAATGTATAATTGGTTAACACGCATGCTAATAGTATCAAGCATCTATCTCCATGTTTGTATGTCCCTTGGTCTATTTGTTTTAGGTTATTGCGACATTATTTTACAAAATGACCGTTTCTCCTTTCAAAGAGGACAGAGATTTTAGAATGGAGTTTTCATGGCATTTATGGAACCTTCATCAGTTACGTTATTGAGATGTCATCTAATTTTGCATTCGTTTTTTTTTTTTGGCATGTAAACTAGCACAGTCTCAATGCAGCAAAAAATACATACCTTATGACCGAGTATTTCCTTATAATTTGGTAGAAGCAACTATAATATTAACGTCATTGACTCCATCAACGTGCATGTGTGGAACAGGTTTGGAGGGAGAAAAATGTGTTAAAACCAGCCCCTGGAAAGAGGCGCTGCAATTGTAGAAATGAGGTTTATCACAAGCAAATTGGTCCAGGGATGTTCCAGCAGATGACAGAGCAGGTTTTTACTCTGCCTTTCCAGAAACGGCTCAAACTATCTTGTACTGGATGGAAGGATTTTCCTTTTTGACTGTTATAAATAACATGGACTTAAGTCTGTTTATAATTTTTTTCTAGGTCTGTGAACAATGCCCAAATGTGAAGTTTGAAAGGGAGGGTTATTTCGTTACTGTGGATATTGAAAAAGGAATGCAGGATGGGCAAGTAAGTGTTTGATTTGTATTTCTTATATCCATTTTCCTATTGCCAGTAAAAAAGTTCTATATACTTTTTTGAGTACCCTGGTGCATGTTTGTCACCTGTGCATGGTCAAGTGTGTGGGTGACGTAGAATGGTGGGATGCATGGAATAGAGAAATATGACAAATTGCATGAAAGGGAGGTTATTTCTTCACTGTGGATATTGATAATGGAATGCAGGATGGGCAAGTTAGTGATTAGTACTATATTCATTTTTGTGTAATGGAATGTGGTGCATGTTCGTCACGTGCGTGGTGTAGTGCATAAGTGGGTGGGGTGGGATTTTCGGATGCGTGGAATAGAGTCGTAGAGAAAGTGTGACAAAAATAGGATGGAAACATGAATTAGCCCTTGCATGATGTTACCAATGTGCATCTTGATTATCCAGGTTATGTACGTTTAATTAATATGTTTTGTGGTGGCATAAATTTTACATCTAAATGTTACATTCCTTGGTCTTAGGATGACTGATTTTATGTTTCAAATAAAGCTGTCGCTAAAATATTTCTACTAGCTTTTATGGTTGAATTTCATTAGTTTTAAGGATTTTCTGAAAATTGCTGGCTGCCTGTTTCTGTAGGAAGTTGTCTTTTACGAAGATGGGGAGCCCATTATAGACGGTGAAGCTGGAGACCTGAAGGTTTGATATTTATCCTTGGTCTGTAAGGTGGTGATGAGCCTCATTAATATAATTCTTGATGATTATAACTTGTGTTTGGACAGTTTCGCATTCGTACTGCACCTCATGATCGCTTCAGGAGGGAAGGAAATGACCTGCACACAACAGTTACTATTACTTTGGTAATATTAATGTCATCAATTTTTCATAATTCTAATTTTACATAGTGCCAATTTGCCTGTAGACAAATGTGTAAAGAAGGCTTTTAAAGTAAATGTTTTTGCCGAGGTTTGAAAGGTTGATATATTTTACAATAATTTGCTGAATGATTTCCTCGTGTGTATTGATTCTCATATATAGAATATATGAAGTTATAAGAAAGGAAACTATGTGATTATGCTATACCAGGAAAGTAATAAATTAGATTGCTGTAAATAATCCTAATGAATTAGGTTGCTGTAGGCAATCCTTGTAATAATTTTTCCTGCAAAATTTCTTTGTTGTCACTTCGGCATAATTTTTCTGAAGACCAAGTATTGCTTGCTCTACTGTATCCTATAGTAGAAAAGAACAGTACCGTGTTTTTCACTCCGTCTTTGTGTGTTTCATCAGTTCATTGTATTAAGCATGTAAAATTTGGAGCACTCATTATACAGTTGTCTGTTTGGTTTTAACTGAAATAATTTGTCCTGTAAACTTCCACTTTATTCAGGTGCAAGCTCTTGTTGGTTTTGAGAAGACTATCAAACACCTCGACGATCATTTAGTGGATATAAGCTTCAAGGTGAGCACAACGTAATTTCTATGGCATACATACATGTTTGGCTAAGCTTAAGAATCAGTCAAAGTTACTTTTAAGTAAATTTTAGTTTCTATACCATTTTGGATGTTACTTTTTCTCACTTTCAAGTAAAAAAGAGTTGCTTATTTCCAAATATAAGGACTAGAAAATAATTTATTTTAAAACTTATTTACTTATGATGATACATTCTTATAAGTTGTATAAGCTTAGCCGAAGATGCTATAACTAAATTCCAAGGTCAGGTGCTGGCTTCACTTTTTGAGAAATGACTAATATGTGGCAAAAATTTGTATTTTTAGACTTTTGCACAAGTAAATTGTATAAGCTTAGCCGAAGATGCTCTAACAAAATTCCAAGAAATCATACTACAGTAACATAATTGACACAATGCCACATAGCATCATATTATTGAATTGCTAAAAACACATTCAATTTTTCGATTCAATCATATTTTGTCAACATTCATTTTGTCAAAGCATCTGTAAACATTTTTCTATCAAAGTGGCTTTACCCATTCCGAGGTCAGGTACTGGGCTTCACTTTTTGAGAAAGGACTAATACATGGCAAAAATTTGTATTTTTTCCAGGGTATTACGAAACCGAAGGAAGTGAGAAAGTTTAAAGGAGAAGGGATGCCATTACATTTTAGCAATAAGAATGGCGATTTATATGTCAAGTTTGAGGTTCTTTTCCCAACTTCACTAACAGAGGATCAAAAGACAAAGATCAAGGCAATTCTTGATTAATTGATACAAATTCCCATCATGGGGGGCTTTTTTTTTTAATTACCTTTTTTCCCCCCTCTCTCGGTGGGCGGTGGGTGGAATTGGGTTAAGATTTCCTATTGAGGTTTGGTTTCTACCTCACCACATATGTCTAACATGTTATGTTGAATTAGCTTTAGATGTATTTAAGGATTATATGCATCTTGATATCGATCCTACTGTTGAAAGAATTGAGAATCGGACGTCCTCTGTATTTTTGGGAATTTATGTAATATTTTTCATCCAATTGCGATGGGGAAATTTTGGTAGTTTTTTCAACACGTGATGTCCACACGAGCAATGCATGCAAATCAAGATGGCAAACGAGATGTATCATCGGGGCATGTTTGTAATTTTATTATACATCATATTGGACAAATACAATAACTAAAATTTTTTCTTCATTTTTTTTCTCTTTTACTTTTTCATATTTTAGCTAACCAATTTTGTGTAAAGTAAGGTTATGGAGCTCCATTGGGGTTGCAACCACAGTTTAGGTGACACTAAATGATAAGTTAAATGTAATGTGAAATTCAATAAATTATTTAATTTTACCCATTTAGACTATAATTGCAATTTCAATGGTTCTAAATACCATATTTCTTTTGTTTGAGCTTATCATATGCGGTGAATCCATAGGTGGTTGATTACATTCTTTTGTTTGTCTTGATAACAAGAACACTGAAACCTTAAGAATTTTAGTTATTCGTTAGATATTTGATTATATGAATCTTTTATTGAAAATTCCAGTTATGTATGTAAGAAAGGAATGGTACACACTTTGTTCAAAGAAGAAAAAGAAAGAAGGGGTGCACAATGAAGAGTCTCTAATAAAAAAGTTGAGCCATTTGTATATCAAAAGTATACGCCACTTTTGATATCATTCAAGTTGGCATGATTTGATTGATTAAAAAGATTGTTTATTTTTTTGAAATGTCCAATAGTGTGTTGTCACATGGCACACCGCAAAAAGTAATGAAATTAGAGCCTGTGTGATAGACTCCATTTTTCACCCAAATGGTATGTTTGATAGGCAAAATTTTCTATGTAATTGGTTTTCCACGCAATCCCCACGTGACACCTTTTTCCAAGATTTGAAGGACTTGGTTTTCCTTTGATTTTGTTGGAAATAAGTTTTCTAGTTTTTTTTTTTTCTTAATTTTTTTAGGGTAGCAATATTATTTATGATATTAGGCTTAGAAATTAAGGCTTACAGTATGGACATTATAGGCTACAAAAATGTATGTTTTACTCTAATTAATTGTTATACCTTGGAATCCACGAAACTTCGCATAAGTATCAACATGACAGTGAAGGTCACCCGGGCATCCAGCGATGGACAAGCGACAAATTCGTGCGTTCCTCGCCATTTTTAGTAGAGGCATATCACCAACTCTCGCTTTCACCATTGTTATCGTTCCTCGATCTTTGCACATCGCCAATCAAACGAATGAACTTATGAGTGCCAAATGAAAGGCGCAAAACATTCAAGTAGCCAGGCAATCACGACCGTGACATTCAAGTTTGGGATTGGATATACCTTAGGGCAACGCCAATGAATGCATTAAATCACCAAAATACACCAAATTTTGGTGCAAAACTTCTTCAATGTAGCACCAAAGTTTGCACCATTTTGCATCAAAATGATACAAAGTCAAATTTACCCTTTTCTTCTTTCTACCAAACTAATTGATGGAGGATATTTGTGTCATTTATATTATATATTATTAATACAATAAATTTTTATTTTTATAATTCTTATTATGATTAATAATAATAACAAAATAAATTTTAATAATGTAAAAAATATTTTTTTATATTTATTAATGAATTTAATATTTTCGTTAGTTTAACATATTATTTATTTAATAATCTACGTATTTGTAAAATAAATAAAGAATAATTTTTTAAATAAATAATTAATTAAGGATGAAAAAAGAGAAGAAAATGATTAAACACTATTCATTTTGTGTAAGCTTTGGTGTGATGGTTAGAAATGATTTTTAGTTTGGTGCAAGATTTGGTGTAAAATGATTCAAAACTTATCTCAAATTTTGGTGTAAAGTTAGAGATGGTCTTAAACTGTAAGCTTCGACAAGGAAATTATCCTATTAATATCCAATAATCAAAAATGCAAACTATTGGGATCAAGGAAGATCTCATGGAATTAGATGTAAGGAACCCAATCGCACGAGAAAACAAACTAGTAGGAGACAACTTGCCATAGCTCAACAAAAAGTTGCGTGAACCAAAGAGGACATGACAAGTGAAACCAGAGCTGCTTGCCCGATTCCTCACATTCCTTAATCTGCTTCGTCCGGCTCTAGAAGAAAGAGGTTGAGTCTAAGGGCGATGCCAGGATTGGCTGGGAGGAGTAAGCTAGCTGGCGTAGCAGATAGTTGAAGAAGGTGGATGGGCGAAGAGCGAAAGGTTGAAAAATCGAAATGGAATTGATAATTTAAAAAAAAAAAAAAAAGATTGAACCCAACCTTGAGGGCCCCCACCGCCCCGTCCCTAGAGCTTTGTGAGGGAGGTAAATCAAGAGATGTGTCCCAACAGGTTAGGGAACAAAAACTGTCTGTACACTGTGCCTACAAGGAGTCCAATTCCATGTTTCAGAAACCGAACATTCACACTACGGCTGCCAGCAAGACGTGAGATAACCTCACTCCTATCCTTTACACCACTAGACTATGTCCCAGGAGGCCTAAAATGAAATTGATAATTGAATGGGGAATGGGTTGTAAATGGGTCATGAGTGTATCCTGTATGTGTTGATTGGTTTAATGGATTATTGGGGTAGTGAGCTTCACTTCTTCGCCGGGCAGGATAGAGAATTAACACTAAAAAAAAAAGTTTGTGCCTGTTGGGCCCAAAAGTTTAGTGCAGGCAAATTCCACCCCTATAGAATATATGTTGACAGCATGTAGTTTGGGATTTTGGGGTCAACATTAGCGTTCCACAACAATATCAGTCGAAAGCAAAATACAAGAAGCTATTTAATAATTTACTTACTCTCATTTTTACTGCCAACAAATGTTACACCCTTATCATACGGGAGTAAGACAAAATCGTCAAACTAAATTGAAATCGTTGATTTGATGTCATGTGGACTCGTCAACTAAATGGATTTGAACTAAACGTTCAAATTTTAATGATGATTTGAAACCAATTTGGATCGTTTAAAAACATAAAAATTAATTTTTGTTTTTATTTTTGTTGGAAATTAAAATAATAAATTACAATCCAACTTCCAAAAAAAAATTGGACTATGCTATTTGACCCCGACAGGTCCCCAACCCCACGCCTTCGCTCACCTCCCCCGGGGGAATGGCTAGGCAGAATAGTCCAAATAAAAATGAGTTATGCTATGGGGTGTCCAAGCAGTTTAACCCAATAAAAATAGCTGTTAAAATTTGAAAAACAATAAAGGGCCATTTGGTCAAATGTCCATTACCAAATCCCAATATTCACCTTAATTTCACAACCACTATTGTTATTCGACATTAATGGTGTTAGAATACTTGTCTAGATGGAATAATATAAAGCTTGCTTGAGTCCCTTTTTAAAAAAAAAAAAAAAAATCATTTTGAAATAATGGTATGATGGAAAATGTATGGTTGAAAAATAAGAAAAAGTTTTGAATTTACATGTAATATTATTTTATTAAAAATATAGTGGAAAGGAGATCAAATCACTGTTAAAAAATGTATTTTTGTGAAAAATGGGCTCAAACAAAGGCATAATAGGCCCAATTAAATTTAATTAAGTGTAAAAGTATGGATCACTTAATTGGACTTATCATAATTTTTTACTTAAACCGGTGCCATAATATCATTCGAACTAGAGAATTTTATTCTTACAAATAATTCCATACGGCATACACCAAAGTTGAAACCCTGTTTATCTTCCATCTCCACATTGCAAACATTGTCGTGGTTTTATTTGGATATTTATATATATTTTTTAATATCAATATTATCAAAATCTATGAAGATCGATGAACATAATCAGAAATCGGATTCATAGTTACCCCCTAAAAATCACCTATTAGAAATCAGTTGTGAAAATGCAAAAGCGACCGCTTAAACCTCAACCAAGGAAACCGATGACAATTTTTCCAGTTGTTCATGGCCAATTTTTACGAAAAGAACTAAAACGGGGGCTTATTTGTTAAAGCTCACATCTGTACTGCTGTTTAACATGCTGCAAAAGGGAATGCTTTCACTTCACACTCCTTTTATAACCTTTTAGACTCTCATTGTAATAAAATTTGGATTGGTAAAAACTCCATCCAAGTCAAACATAGCACTAAATAAATAGATATTTTTGGCTGTAGAGTATTGCTTGTATGAATACTTGTTTATTTTATTGACGCAATTAATCATTATTCTGTATGTTTCCTTAATTCATAAATATTAGAAACTAAAAGAAATAGTTCAATTAGTGGTATTATCTAATCCTTATTTACTGTTTGGAAATGTATTTATTTATTTTTACTTTTTAACTACCCAGTTTGATCACGATTCGATCTCGATCCAGCCCTTGACCCTTTCACTTTTTCAAGTTAGTGCCCGTCCGACTTTTATAGTATTTAAATTTATCTTTCACTAATTTTATTTTATTTTTTATTTTATAGATGATAAAATATGAAAATATTTTACAACTAGTGAACTAATGACAATACAATCAAACCACGGCTTAATAAACAATCAAACTGCTAGTTTTATATTTGAGAAAATCTCGAACCATTTTAAATTGTTTGGTTTAGTTCTCGGTTTTTCTCATATTATTCCAAATGGGTTGATTTAAAAATCTATAAAAATTGCTCAAACTATAGAAAAATTTTAGATTTAAGTGCAAAGTTATTTTATTAAAAAAAATGTATAAATGAAAATGAGTTTAAGCAAAAAAATGAGTTTTCAAACTGAGAATCAAATAATGACTTGTATCACATTAAAAAAAATAAATATAAAATCACTAAGCCCCGTTTGGCCCTCATTTCTGAGAAATGAAAATGGATATAATACTATTTTTTTGAAAATTGAATGATTTAAAAAGAAAGAAAAGTTATCGATTTACGTGTAATATTATTTTATGAAAAATTGTGTGGTTAAAAATATGAGAAAAAATAGAATATAATGAAATTTAATTTAATGAGGGCCAAACGGGAGCTAAATATATAGATAATAAATATAAATAAAGTTGAATATGTCATTTTGAGATTATAAGCCCTTATTTGATCTAATTCTTTTGAAAAAAAATATATATTTTTAAATAAAATAATATTATACGTAAATAAAAAAAATTCTTAATTTTTAATCACACATTTTCCATCAATATACTATTTATAAATGCATTCTTCTAAAAAATGGGGTTAAAAAAGGGCTAAAAAAAGTGTTTTAGAGGCGTAAAATAATTTTTTTTCTTCATATTTTCAGTTAATCTTATTGGGATGTTGACACGTGTCTAGATGTGCGTTAATGTCAGCAAGAACTTTGATTCAGGCACGTTGGTGGCTTTATGACACGTAACGTGACCTTTTAAGAGCAGCCACGTGGTAGTCATGCCAATATTTACGCACCTATCAAATATACGCGTATACGACTTGTCTTGCTTACTACGAACGAAATGATTATTTTATCGTTAATTTTTATGATGTTTCTTAAAAAATAATATTTTTTATAAATTAATAACTTTATGCTTTTTTTTTTAATATAAAACTATTATGTATTGGATTTAGTCTCGTTTGATACACATTATTGTAAAAATGAAAATGAAAAATATAGCTATTACGAGTTCCACATAAGAGATAGAAAGTTAAATACGATGATTTGATATGATGAATAACGGTCATATATTTCATTTTAATGGACAAAAAATGATAAACAAACAGGGACTTATCGACATTTGATATTTATCTTATTGGCGTTGTGCTACTAATACTTGAATTTTGTAATTTATTTAAAATAAATAAAGACTAAATGTAATTTTACAATCCGTTAGGCCCATTATTTAAAATTTTAATGGTTTAAATAATTTTTTTTCAAAGACTGTATAGTTAAAAAATAAGAAAAAAATCTAAGATTAAAAGTAATTTTATTTGTTTTATGCTACACATACATCATAGTGTCCCTCCACTCACATGAAGGAGGACCCACTTTGAATAAAATATAATTTATTCGAAATGAGTCCCCCTCCATGTAAGGAAAGTGAACATCATTATGGGTATGAAATTATATACAAAGAGCATATTTTATATTATTTTATTGAAAAATGTGTCATTGATAAATATAGAGAAAAAAATTATTATTTTAATTGAGGCCAAATAGGGGTTTAGTTTGTTTGTTAAAAGGGCTCAAACAAACAAGGGGTTAATATTTTATTCTTATTTGTGACTATTTTGGTTTATAATTTTGAAAAGAGCATTATGCCCATGTTTAATTGAAATTAAAAATCAGATTTAATTAAATCAAAGTCAACAATTAATTATAATTATATGACCTCAATTTTTTAACAACATATCTAATCAACTTTTGTTAAAATTTACTAAAAATTTAACTCCGAAAAAAGAAGAAGATATTTTTAAGAGCAATAAAAAGCAATAAAATAAAATAAAAAAATGCTAAACACAGAAATATTTAGCACTTTCGAGACTTTTCGTTCGAGAAAAGTAAGGGATTTCGGGGGCAACCCCAGCCAAGTTGGTCAGGCAGTTGGACTAGCAATCGTGAGGTTGCTAGTTCGATTCCCGTTGGAGCTATCTATTGGCCTTCTTGATTTGAGCCGGTTAGCTATGGATAACGTAGGCTGATTTACCTCCTTGTGGTCCTTTGCCGGCTAGGATCACAAGGCGGGATTTACCTAGTGCGCACTTTCGGATAGCGACTGCGGGCTCCTTTGTCAACAAAAAAAAAAGGAAAAAAAAGTAAGGGATTTCGACAAAAATTTATAGTCGTCAAGGGAAGAGGGAGAGAGAGAGATATATATGAAGAAGTTTGGTCACCCGTTTAAAAAAGAAGATACGTAACCCCATATTTCTTCTCCATAGCTGTACTTGTGTATATATATGTATGTATATACGTAATGGATAATAAGAGAATCGTGTAACATAAGCTAAAAAGAAGAAGGAATTTGAATTATTGAAGGGTCCCCCTCTATGGATGCATTTTGTTTGAAGCCAGGAATCCATGGAATGACGTTGCCAATCTCCGTTGCCGGGAATGGGGTGCTAGAAGTCCGTACAATCCATTCTGCACAAATTAGTACTGCGGCGGCGACGGGGCGGTTGCTGGCTGCTGTAAAATCTCTGTCGCCGGAGAATCCTTCTGTTTCCTCGGCGTCGGGGAGGATTTCTCCATGGGGTTTCACTTTCCGGCGGCCACTCAGATCATCGGAAGGTAAAAACCTGTACAAACCGGCAGTTGCTTCGGACGACACCGTTTGGGTGGATGGAGAAGTTGATAAAGAAGAGGAGCTACCTGAAGGACCGAATGGGAATTGGGTTTTCAAAATTTTGCATGTAGGTTCTCTGTGGAAAGAAGGAGAAGAAAAAAATGGTGGGATCGTTGAGGAATTGGAGGGTAAAATGAAAGAAGAGGATAAAGATGGGGTTCCAATTGCAAATAATAATAATGTTGAAGAAAAAATGAAATGTTGTGAAGGGTATGAAGAATGTGATGTGTGTGCAATTGATGATGAAGAAAATTTTGAATATGATAAAGAATCATTTTCAAAGCTGCTTAAGAAGTTGCCATTGGCAGAAGCTAGATTATATGCTCACATGTCTTATTTGGGAAATTTAGCTTATTCCATTCCCAAAATCAAGGTACTCTTTAATTTATTTTTTCAAATTCAATTTCATTTGCATTTTTCATCTGTTTTCAATTTGATTGCCTGGAAGCAAGAATTCTTCCGATGTCAGATTTAATTTCCAATAAAATTTTGAGTAATTTTTGTTAGGAGATTAAGTGATTACGCAGAATAGAATTCATTGTTATTTGAGGTAATATATAGGTGAAAGATCTATGTTTCTTCAGTTTTATGTCGAAGATGATGGTTTGGCCAATCTTTCTCAGTCCGAATTGATATGTCAATTTGTATATTCATATCGTCTCCATATATACAATTAGCAGTATCAAAGGGTAAGCTTGCCTGGAAAAAATGAGTCTCTCTCTCCCCAGACGCCTGAATTGTCCTCAGGTGTCCAGTGGCAAATTCTGCATAGGATTTTGGTCGCTCTTAATTTATGCAGTTATCTATGATAAATTCTCTTTTAGGATGTCATTCAGACTACAAACGAGCACACACCTTAACTATCCAAGGCTTAGCCTTGAGGCATATGTCTATGTAATTTCAGGTGTAATCTTCAGTAAAGTGAGCCATAAACCTTGAAAATAACATTTTATGCGTAAGTTTCAAGGTGTTTAATGAAAAGCCTCAGGCAGGTCTCAAGGCGTACGCCTCGTACAGCTTTTTAGAACAATGGGTTCAGTTTTGTAAGTTGTCCTGTCGATTTTGGAGCTCTATTAGGTTGAGTAGTTATGCATATTGCTGACAATTTGATGGTTCTTCTATTTTTCTTATGGTGATGCAGTCTAGGAATCTCCTTAGAAACCATGGACGCTTTGTGACCTCATCAATGGAGAAGAAAGAACAGGCGCTGAAGGCCCATGAGGAGATGACATCGACCGAAAAGCCACACCAAGAAGAAAATACAGCAGCCGAAGAAGCTCGGGATGCAGAAGGCAAAGTGGAGAAGACTGATGGAAATGGGATAAGCGCATCTTCTGCTTATCAAATTGCTGCTTCTGCTGCTTCCTATTTACAATCTCATACAAAAAGTGTTCTTCACTTCAAATCCTCGAAATTAATGGGAAATGAAAACTTGCCTGAAGAAACCGGTGAAATCGAGAACAATGTCGATATGATAAACCAGGATATAGCTTCATTAATGGCAACCACAAATTCTGTTACAGCAGTGGTTTCTGCAAAGGAGGAAGTAAAGCAAGCTGTTGCAGATGATCTAAATTCGGCTCACTCATCACCATGTGAGTGGTTTGTATGTGATGATGATCACAGTGCCACAAGATTCTTTGTCATTCAGGTAGGATAGACAGATCTTTTTAGTGTATTAGATTATATTTGCGATGTATCTGTGGTGGGTTAAACATGTTTAGGCATAAGACCATCTTTGGCTAATCTTAAAAAATTTACTTTTAAGGAAATAAGTAAATCATGAAATAAATTGATTTTTTGCTATGTTAGTTGGAAAGAAGTAAATTACTTATTTTGACAGTAAGGTTCTATGAAGTAACTTTTTTAATGTAAAAGATAAGTGTAACATATTCAAGCATTTTTGCGAGATATGCTCTTAATCATGTTATTTCCGTTCCTACGTGGATGGGACTCTGAGTTTTAATCATTTTAATAGCTGATTTTATGTCAATGAGGTTCAAATTGGCATAAATCAATCAATGGCTAATTGTAATTTCCATGCTGTGATTTATGTGGCAGTTTATGTAAGTAGCATTATTTTAACACTAAACATTTCCAAATGTCTATTTTGTTAGGGTTCAGAGTCACTGGCATCCTGGCAAGCCAATCTACTCTTTGAGCCAATTCAGTTTGAGGTAAATTAGTCAAATACTCTTTCAAGCTTGTGAATCATTATTGAAGATATCTGTGAAAACGTGCATGTATCTTTCTAAAGTTCCTTTCTGGATAACCAAGATCATTTTTATCAAGTACTATTGATAATTTTTTTCCCATTTTAGGGACTGGATGTGCTTGTGCATAGAGGAGTTTACGAGGCTGCGAAAGGGATTTACAACCAGATTTTGCCTGAAGTTCACGCACACCTAAAATCCCACGGAGAGCGTGCCAGATTTCGTTTCACAGGACACTCTCTTGGGGGAAGTCTATCTTTGCTTATAAATCTCATGTTGCTAATAAAGGGTGAAGCACCTGTTTCTTCGTTGCTTCCAGTCATAACTTTTGGTGCACCATCAATAATGTGCGGAGGGGATCGTCTCCTGCGCAGACTAGGACTGCCTCAAAGTCATGTACAGGCAATCACAATGCATAGAGACATCGTTCCCCGAGCATTCTCTTGCAACTATCCTAATCATGTGATGGAGTTTCTTAAGGCTGTAAATGGGAACTTTAGGAATCATCCATGTCTTAATTACCAGGTAATCTGCTGATTCCATTGTGAGTTCAATGCAACGTCAATATTCTAATAATAAGAAACACAAATAATGCTGTCTCTCGACCTACTCTAACCCTCCTCCGGTGCCGGGCTGGAACCAACTATAAAAAACATAGGCGGAGCCGCCGAGCTCAAAGTCGATACTTCGATATTTGCAGAGTTTCTTTTGAAAATCTTTTCAGATCTAAAAATGCTTGTGCTTTCATTTTGACAGAAGCAGTTATACGATCCAATGGGAGAGTTTATAATTCTTCAGCCAGAAGAGAATTTTTCTCCAAACCACCATCTTCTTCCCTCAGGCAGCGGTCTTTATTTATTGACCTGTCCTGAGACAGATGCCAGCAAGGCAGCCAAGCAAAACCGGGTTGCACGTGCAGCATTTTTGAACTCACCACACCCACTTGAGATATTGAGTGACCGCTCTGCATATGGTTCTGAAGGAACCATTATGAGAGATCATGACATGAACTCGTACTTGAAATCTCTTAGGAATGTTATCCGTCGAGATCTCAACCACATTAGAAAATCCAGGCGAGAACACCGGCGTAAAGTTTGGTGGCCACTCGTGACACCACGAGGATTTAATGCTGGCGTCCTTTTGAGTAGGCCGATTATATCAGGTAACAAGGGCCAAGGTCAATTTCATTTTTCCGGACTCTTACAATCTGGTAAAGAGTCTTTCAAACGGCTTAGTAGGCTCGTTGCACCACAGCATATGCATTTGTTTGTTGTGCTCTGGTTCCCTGCAAGGTGGTTAATATTCGGTTTTTGCAACCTGATCAATTTTCATTGATCAGGCAAGTCGTAGAACACCACATCTCCAGAGAAGAAAAGCTTGTGCCTATACATATAAGACCTGCGAGCAAACTACTATTGAGGCTTTTTTTTTTACAAGGAAAGATACAAAGGTGGGTCGTTACAAGGTCCTAAATTGTCAATATCGAGTAGATTAGTCATTGCAAAATGGTATTAATACTTTGGTTAGAAGTGAACTGGCGAGGACACCGGGCTCCATGAGGCTGGTCAATATTGGGTAGGTTTGACCGGTCCCTACACAACTAGGGTAAATGGTGCTTGGTAACGCTTGGTACATTGTTTTAGACGAATGTGTTTTAAGTAGACAATTCTTTATTCATTTGTCTATAGACGCTTGCAACTCATATTCCCTTATTTTGAAGGCGGGAAAATTGGTAAGTTGCATTTAGAGAAAACATAGTTCCCGTAAATGAGAAATTTAATTTTCATTGTGATAGTTTCAACAAAAATTTATGCTATATCAACATTTCTTGTTGATCGTTTTCTCGGAAAAGCATGTATATTGACATTTGTTGGTGTTCCATGGATTCGGGCACTAAGTGCATAGGTGGTCATTTTTGTATTCATTTCCAAATGCCACTTCTTCTGTTGCATACGAACACATGAAATGTAAATGTTATCGTAATTCTCTTTAGATATTGAGTATTTGAAAAATGTTGAAACTTGAGAGCAAGATCTTGCGTAGTCAGAACGTACTCTCTGTATAGCAATTATTGATCTTTGAACGAACTCTCTGTATAGCAACTATTGATATTCGTACAGAAGAAAACAAAATTGCACCTAACATCAGTTAATATCAACCACGTGTGGCAAGAGTTTTAGTTTTCATACCATAGATGTTACGGATTAAATGTCTATTGAGAGTAAGACAAACAAGAAATCTAAAGTAAAATTAAATTGACATAAATCGTATTATTCTCAGAATATATAGAGATTCCATGATTGTAATGATTTTAATTGAATATTATTACTCAATCCCTCCACAACATCAATGTCTATATCAATGGATAACTTGTGGAAGCAAGCACAATCGACATCCAAGCAAGCTAATGGTTTCAGTGTTGATATCCATTTTGACTCGCAAGGCAAATTGAAAATTACAACATTTTTATTCTAACGCATCTTGTTCTTTCATACATAACTTGTACGTCCAAGAAAGCTAAAGGATTCAGAGTCCGTATTCATTTTAACACATAATCACAGCCAGATACATCCACCCGAGAGTAAAAGTTATATTTGATCCGATTTACAAATCGATTTTACCTGCTAAATACCAAGAATGCATGGCAAGGCTACCGAATGACATGATATTAGAAAGAGATGATAGTCCGTGGATCATTCCGAATTTCTTGTTCATGGCAGCAAGCTTTGGATTTTTCTTCGCAACTTCTTGGTTCTTTGTCGACCCAACTTCTTCCCCAATATTTGCTTCTCTTTCTATCTTGTGCCTTTGCTTCATCATCTGCTTCAGATCAAGCAAATATTATGTGGTATGTTAAAAGATATCTCATCATTTTAAGAGAGAATTCTAGCGGTGTTCAGAACGAGTTCAAAAAGTTGTCATATGATGCAAATAGGAAACTCCCCAACTCATGCCAAATCTGCTAAAACATTTCTTTGTCTATTGTACACCTTTCAATGTCAAGTCGACAACTTCTATCTTAAGTCATTAATTCTCGAATAAGAAAGAGCATAAGAGTGGATTATCGGTTCAGAGCGAAGCTATCTGCTAATTCCTTTACCCACTTCTGTGGTTAATTATATAAAGAGTTCAGAAAGTGAAACCATAACATGTAGCGGATGAGCATAAACTACCCCTTCTAGAGACCCAAAAAGCAGTAATAATCAAATGATTCGACACTCTATATCTCTGATTGCTCAAGTATACCAACATATCTTCACAGTGTATGAAAGCTTGTTTGGGAGAGATTTTTCCAAGCGAAAATTGATTTTTTTTGAAGAATGTGCGGTTAAATAGTAGGGAAAAGTTGTGGGTCCAATAAATAATCTTTCCCAAAGCTCTCATTTGTAAAATGGTACTTAAAATCACTCTGAACATAACTAAGATGAGAGCTGCAATATTTGTAAAAGCAGGAACTTGAGCTCGAAATAACGAAAGGAGATATTAGTAAAAAGAATAGAAGTTAAAATCTTGCTTATATGTTTGTCTGGTCCTAATAAATACTACATGAACTTGCACTAAAATATTATCTTGCAATTGTCTTTTCCCATTTCATGTTTTGACAACAGAGAAATAAAGTTTTTAGAACTAAAACAAGGTAAAATACGTAGCATTTCAAGTGAGTATATAGTTCATTACATCACAAAATTTCTGATCTAACATCTACCAGTAAGATTGGGTTGCTGCATTTTGTGAAAGTCCAGCCCAAATATATGGCCCAATCATCTGACCCGGTTTGATAGTCCAATAATTAGAAGGATCTGGAATTGAAATCAAAAACGCATTTTCTGTTTTTAATTTAACAACTTCACCGGATGAAGACACGTGGCATGTTGAAGGCCGTTGGATTGATGAATTAGCTCCTTTCATTTAAAAGGAGCTCAAAGCACTAGGGTTTTAGCTCTGGTCATTTTTGAGCGGCTGCCTCTCGTTTTTCTCTCTGTAATCTTGGATTTACTCTTTTGATCTGTGAGATCATTTAGTTGGTTGAGAGAAAAGTGTGTTTAATTGAATTCGTGTGAGTTCTACTCGTTGAGAAGCGGCCGGTTGTTGTTGTTTGTGTTGATGAACCGTGTGTTCCTTTTTGTAACTCGAAGTTGTGGTTTTGGCCGGTGATTTTGTGGATTCAAGCTTAAATCCTTATGGATGCTCAATGGGGACTAGGCGATCTTATCAATCGCTGAAACTCGGGGCTTCGGCCGAAAAATCTTGTGTTCTTTTACTGTTTTTCTTCAAATCAACGTTTATACTTGATTTTTGCCTCGAATATCTTTCGGTCTTTAAACTATCCTAAACCTACAATGGTATCAGAGCAAGGAAATTTTTTTTTGGTCTCCTTAGTTACGGAACTAAAGTTGAGTCACCGGCCAGAAAGAGAAACGGCAGATCTCTATGATCTACCAACATAATTTTTTTTAAAACAATTTCTTCTTTTCTCTTCACATACGATTGGGGTGTTCTTGGCACTGTTAGTGTGCTGCTTCAACTTCATATGTTAGTGTTGAATTTTCTTGAAAAGAAACCGGTTGCTACTGAGTTAAAATTTTGACAAAATTTATTGGTGTCGAACCTGTTGAAAGAAACTGAAGTTTCTTGGTTATCTTTTATCTAGGTCCTCTAATTCTTGATCTTGCTGGTTCTAAAACCTTTATTGAAATCCTTTGGTGAACCTACTGCACCCTACAGTGTGTTGGTAACGAAATAAACAAAAGTTTTTATAAATACCTACTGATTATTGCAGTGTTGTTTTTGTGTGTGTATAGTGGTACCTGCAGTAGTCAGGAGACAGTGTTCTTGTAAAAGAATCAGACGATTTTTTGGTATTTTTGGTATCTGCAATTTATGTGAGATAATTTTTTGTAACAAAACGTGTTTTCAAACACAAGGTCTCATTGAACCTCCCCTAACTCTACCTCTGTCTAGGGTTCTCTAAGAGAATCCTAGAAACTTTGGGGACTAGGGCTTAGGTTCAAGAAACCTGCAATCTTCAAAACTGTTTTCTTTAAATTTCTCACTGTGTGTTGATAATAAAACCAAAATCATATTTCCTATTGATAAATTGTTGTACATTCTATGTGAACTGTACTAATACACAAATTTGATCTTCTCAAGTGTTAACCTGCCAAAGAATAATTGCCTCAAAGGACATAGATTGTGTTTACAGTTTTTGATAGCTTACCGTGTGTAAGTTATGTGATTAAATTCCATGCAGGCTTAGTGATTTGCACATTGAATGTGTCTAATTTTGGTTGATATACTCCTGTACACATCACACCTAAGCACTATTTGTACATAATTTGAAATTGGAATAATAAGACAGTGACCTTTGTGACGTACTGTTGACTGAATAATCATTGTGATATACCTCTTTTATCATAACTTGTGAACAATTTCACACTGCTGCACACTATGAACTCTAAGGTAGATGTCCAAATTTGGGATGACAAAGGAGACTTGAGTCTCTGACGTCAGAAAATAAAAGCACTCTTGTTACAGTTAAAATGTGTTAAGGCTATTGATGAATCTTGGCTAGAAACCTTATCTGAACTAGGAAAACTGAACAAGATGAATTAGCCTGGAACACTTTGTTCCTACACCTGTCTAATACTGTGATTAGGAAAGTAGGAGAAACTAAAACTACTATAGAATTATGGACTGCCTTAGAAAAACACTATCTTACTAAGACTATGCCAAATAAATGTTTTCTTTGGAGACAGTTTTTTAGTTTTAAGTTTGATCCTAATCTTGATAAGGGCGATAATATGGACAGGTTTAATAGGATCACACAGGACTTAGCAAATTGTGATGAGAAAATTTTCAATGAACAGAAGGTAATTGGCCTACTTAATGCTCTAGAAGATAAATATAAATATATAAGAAATGCTCTAGAGTATGGTAGGAGTGATCTCACTGTTGAAATAATTCACAGTTCTCTTCTGAACAAAGAACTTGAATTAAAATCTGAACACAAAGAAGTGTACCATGTTGAGGGTGTGTCATCAAATCAAAAACCATATACTAAAGGAGTAAGTAACTTCAGTCATTAAAATTTTAACAAGAATAAAATTTTTAACAAAAGGCAATGGAATAACACCAAAGGAAAGGGCAAGAAATCAATTAAAGGAAAAATGAACAGCAACAGTAAGAAAAAATGTTTTTACTGTGGAAAGACAGGCCACTTTATTAAAGACTTTTAAAAAGGCAAATGACCAAAATAATGGGTCTAACACTGAAAATGCTTCTTTAGCTGCTGCTGCTAATTATAAAGAAGCAGGAGCTAATATTGGAGTTGCCTATGTGTCTCTATCTGAAAATACTGATCAGGACTGGGTCCTGGATTCAGGATATTCCTTTCATATGATACCCAATATTAGCTGCATTTCAGACTTTTGTAGTCTGGATGGAGGATTTGTAAAACTTGGGAATGATGAGTCATGTCAAGTAAAGGGAATTGGAAATGTGCTGTTGAAATTTAAAAATGTTCATCACATGTTAAAACATACAAGATATGTACCAGCACTTAGAAGAAATCTCATATCCCTAGGAGTTCTTGATGATGAAAATTACCAAATTCGTATTAAAAATGGCTTTACAAATATAACAAGAAATCAATAACTCATTGTCAATTCACCTAAACTTAATGGAATCTATGTAATAGGTGCTGAAATAATTTCACCAAAAAATTCTGTGAATTCTATCACACATCCCGATAAATCAGAACTGTGACATAAAAGACTTGGCCACTTAAGTGAAAAAAGTTTAAAAACACTATCATATCAACGGGCATTTGGGAAGGATAGTGTTCAAAAATTGACATTTTGTGAACACTGTATCATGGGAAAACAAGTCAGACTGCCTTTTAAGGCAGGACTGCACAAATTCTAAGATGTCCTTGAATACATACATTCTGATTTATGGGGACTTGCATCTATTTCTGCTGTATCTGGTTACAGATATTATCTTCTTACAACCGATGACTATTCAAGAAAGACATGAATTTTCTTACTAAAATCTAAATCTGATACCTTTGCAATTTTCAAAGAATGGAATGTACTAATTGAAAATCAGACAGGTAAGAAGATAAAAATTTTAAGAACTGATAATGGCCTTGAATTTTGCAATACCGAATTTGACCAATATTGCAGTAAACAAGGGATAATGAGACATAAAACTGTGAGCTATACTCCACAACAAAATTGGGTTGCTGAGAGGTTAAATAGAACAATTCTTGAAAGAACCATATGTATGTTAATCAGTTTTGACCTTCCAAAAATTTTCTAGGGTGAGGCTGTAAAAACAGCCTGTTATCTTATCAATAGATGTCCTTCCAGCTCTCTAAATAATAGAATTTCCGAACAATTCTGGTTTGGGTAAATGTCAGATTATTCTCATCTAAGAACTTTTGGATGTGCAACTTATGCACATCATACTGAGTCAAAATTGGACCCTAGATCATTGAAGGGTGTGTTCTTAGGATATAGAAAAGGTATTAAAGGTTATAGACTGTGATTAAGAGATGTGAGGGGTTATAAGGTGATAACAAGCAGATCTGTGATCTTTAATGAAGATGATTTCCCCTTTCTTAGTAACAAATCTGGTGAAAAATTGGGAAAATATGACTTTATTATCACAAAAATTAATTTTGATAATCAAAATACTGATGACCAGGCTCAGTTTAAGGTGGAGCCACATCAGGTAGAACCACAGAATGTCTCTGATATTGAAATATTGGAAGATGAACAGCATCTGGAGCCTGCACATGATCTGC